CTGCTGGCTCCTGGCTTCAGATCGGCGCAGCTCTGTCCATTGTGGCCAACTGGAAACGAACCAGTGGATGGAAGACCTCTCTCTCTGTGTATTCTGCCTCTCCTCCTCTCTTTGTGTAACTCTAACTTTCAAATAAATAAGTAAATCTTAAAAAGGTAATTATAAGGGATGAAGGTATTTTCAAAGTTGTTAACAGTAGCCTAGCACCTGTGTTTGCTGTTTTGGAGGTGTTATTATCCTTGTGAGTTATTTTAAAAACATGGAAATGTAATTTTGGCCCTAAAGTAATTCAGATAATGGCATGGTATTTATCAGTATCTCAGTCTCTTCAGTCATCCAGGCATCATTGCTAAGTAAAACTTGGGTAAAGGTACATAAAAACATGGATGTATGTACTTGTAGAATCTTAAATGCTGTCAAGAATTGCCTCTCCGCCTTTGGCTAAGATCAAGTGTGAAAACCGACAAGGGAGACTGGGTTTGTTACCATGTATTTTCAGAACTTGTCCAAGCTTGACGAGTCAAGATGGCCTGAAAGTACCTAAAGGCTTGAAAAGCTGCAAAATGTGTGAGCGAGTCATACACTGTTTGAGAGGAAAACATCTTGGAAGAAGTTTCTGTGTGATAAAATCGATTATGATTTTAAAAGAGTTTCCAGAATTTTCTACAGTTGAGTGTTCATCCCAAAGTTACACTGACCTAAGATTGAAGCCTGATCTGTTACAGCAATGAGGTTTTTGAAAAATGTATATAATATCTTAGTAGCTATCTATAAATAGTCTTAAAATCGGATCTACAATTGGTAAGATCACTCTAAACAGATGCATATTATTTCACAGTGTTTAGAAATTCCATTTTGCCCAGAGACTTTAAGTTCTCTTGGCACCTTCAACAGACTTTCTGAAAATCAAGGTTCTGAATTCTTTGGACTTTGGTATTTCCAGAGGGGCCCCTGGAACCGTCAGAGGATATATCTCTCGTCTTGTAGAGATAATAACCCATTAGGCTGTTTGGATTATATGAGCAGTGCAGCCACGATGTCAATGATGCCAAACTTCAGTTATGAGCATGTTTCTTTTTCCCAGCTGCCCCAGTCTCTGGCTCACAGGCCAGATTCTTCAAAGGGGGACTGACGCAGTCTCAGTCAGCTAACACTGAACAGCCAGGCGTTGCCAGCTCAAAATGTGGATCAAGTGGGGTCCAGACAAAACAGAGGAAGTGTTCCAAAAGAGACCTGGAGACGATGGGAGATGGTTACGTGCAGATCTAGAGACCTGGGTTCCAGGAGCCCAAGGAGCTCTAGTGTCCAGTGTGAAAACCTGGAAGCCCAAGAACTTACTACATAAATGCAAAAACTCACTTTTGAGTTACGTGGTAAGTTCTAGTATAAACTTATGGGTTACATGGTAACACTAGTTAAACCCGGCAACCCAGGCCCATAACCCACTGGCTACATGGTAAAAGTCTGGAAGCCTAAGGGTGGCAGAGACGTCTGCCACAACTTCTCCAAGTAGGCGACGCAGTAAGCACTTGTTAAATGCCAGTTAAATCTGAAAGCCCAGGAAGTCAGCCTAAGCAACCAGAAAGACCGTATTCGCCGCCTCATTTCTCTTTTCTGCTCCAGAAGGGAAGTTGACTGTTCTGCAAGACTCTCCACTGTGATGTACGCTTTGACCCCTAGATCCTATAAAAGGGATGGCTGACCTTTTTTGTAATAATTCCTGGCAAGTAGCATAGCCAGAAAGTGAGAGATTAAACTATGAAATAATGTGACAGCTAGCCTGATTTTTCTGTGTGCGTCGTAAGTGGACAGAACTCCCCTTTTAAAACAAACGGAGGGGTGGGGCCGGCACTGTGGCTCACTTGGTTAATCCTCCGGCTGCGGCACTGGCATCCCATATGGGCGCCGGGTTCTAGTCCCAGTTGCTTCTCTTCCAGTCCAGCTCTCTGCTGAGGCCCGGGAGGGCAGTGGAAGATGGCCCAAGTGCTTGGGCCCCTGCACCCGCATGGGAGACCAGGAGGAAACACCTGGCTCCTGGCTTCAGATCGGCGTAGCTCCAGCCGTAGTGGCTATTTGAGGGCTGAACCAACGGAAGGAAGACCTTTCTCTCTGTCTCTCTCTCTAACTCTGTCAAATAAAAAAAAAAAACACGGAGGGGGAGATGGGAAGTTTCACTGATGACCTCAAAGTATATAGACAGGTCACCATATTCGATCCGGCATGAAAGGTCCTAGTTCTCCTCATGGGCCCTGTCTTAACTCACAGGGAAATACTAAGTGTTGAGTTTGCCCGTGACCACAGCTTTCTAGCTCACCCTGACGATCTTAAGGGAAATCTTCAACTATTCGGGATGGGACTGAGCACCCCCTTGAATGACATCATAGAGGCTCCCTCCATGGTCTACTTTATTATAGACTGGGAGAACGAGGAGCAAGCTAGGCAGAAGAAGCGACGTAAGGGTAGGCGCAGGCCCGTCAATGGCTGCTGTACACGGTGATCTGCCATCAAGGATCCCAGCAAGGCCAGTCCACCTCCAAATGGTACCTGTTTTTGATATGAGGAGCAGGGCATTGGGCAAGCAGGTGTCGTGACAGGAACAGGCTTCTGAAGAGTCCCGTCAGCTCTGCCGAGAGCCAGGCCACTGGAACCTGACCACCCTGGGGCTGAAGGGCTCCTGGGTCAGAACAGCAGACCCTGTTGGCCTCAAGCTAAGAAGCCCTTCAGCTTGCCCAGCTACTGAGGGGCTGGCCCACAGTCAGTGACACTGCAGGGAAAACCACAAGATTCCATCTAGACAGCTGCCAATTCTGTACCGGCCTCCTGCTCAGACCAGTGCTCCTAGTCCAGCCACGTAACGGGAGCCAATGGGTGCCTTCTGATGTCTCTTCCAGTGCCCCGTGGGTAGGTCTGGGCCTCACACATACCTGGCCAGGTCTTAAAGCCCACCCTCCTGTCAGTTCTATTTGACTTTAAATGAGTTAAGGGGGGGGGGGCTTATCATAGCTAGTCTGCCAGCACATTATTATTTAGCCCTTTTCCTCACCCCCTGGGAGAGAGGAGCAGCCCGAGAGGAGACAGGCCGTGAGCAAGTTCCTCGTTCTGAACCCAGCCCCGGCGTTCCCTACCAGGATACAGATTCCTAGATACAGGGAAATAGCGAAGTTCCCGAATCAGGCTATCCACAGGGAGCCAGAGCATAGCCCCTTCCTTTGGGAAACAAAACACAGCTTCCATCCACTGAAAAGCTGCCACGACCAGGCCCCCGGAACGGGACTGCTACACTCCGTCCTTCACAAAAAGCCAGGCCCTGGACCTGCTCACTGCTGCCCGGGAGCGTGTCTGCTCCAGAAATGTCTGTGGGTCAAAGTAGATGCGTACAAATCACGTTCCTACTTTCCTGGACAAGGCCAGACAACTCCAGGTCCAGGCTAAGCAAGGCTGGAAAATCTGGCCTGGCCACTGCTCTTGGAATCCTGGCCACTGAGCCTCCTCGGGGACGTGGCTTTTGCACTTGTCCTGCGTCTCTTTAGACGACTGTGTTGTAGCGCCCTTGGTTTGCCTCTAACAGAATACAACCCACCCAGCCTGCCCCGTCAGGCAGAACGATCAGTCCTCTGCACAGGGCTGGGCCATCTTTGCGAGGCCACCCTCAAACACCATGGGCAGGGAGCAAGAGAAGCACACCCGTAATGAGCACCGTGCCCCTTTGTCAGTGCTGAAGAAACCACAGAAGATGGACCTCCATCCGTTGTGTCCCCATAAGATTATGGGTACCTTCTCTTGAGCAGGGATCGTGAGGCAGGACGTTAGGAGTTAGCCCCATGTATGCATGAGAGGGACCTCAGGAAAACAGGGGAACCCAGCATCTGCAGAAGCTCACCCTGGAGGCAGCCCAGGATCTCGCACTTCAGTCCCGCCCAGACCCTGGTAACCTTCCAGGCGGTCTCAGCCCTCCTCCGGAGGAGAGCACTCGCTCCTCATGGGTTCCCTGGCCTGGTAACACTGAGCAGTAAAACCTCATTCGAAAAAAAGATTTATGTATTTATTGGAAAGGCAGAGGCAGGAGAAGGGTCTTCCGTCTGCTGGGTCACTCCCCAGATGGCTGCAACAGCCAGAGCTGGGCTGATCCAAAGCCAGGAGCCAGGAGCGTCTTCCCGGTCTCCCACGCATGTGCAGGGGCCCAAGCACTTGGGCCATCTTCCACTGCCTTCCCAGGCCACAGCAGAGCTGGATCAGAAGTGGAGCAGCTGGGACTCGAACTGGTGCCTATATGCGATGCCGGTCCTGCAGGCAGCGGCTTTCCCTGCTACACCGCAGTGCCGGCCCCTTGAGCAATACAACGTTCACATTCTTCCTCCAAGGCAGGTGCCCTGGGGAGCCTCACTGCCCGGCACCACGGGGGCTCCCCAGGCTGACAGCTCTGAGCAGTGAAACCCTGGGAGGAAACTTCCCTAATTCACACCAGCAAACCCTGTCCTGCGGGGGAGGAGACCTGGCGGGCAGAGCTGGAAGGCTTCCCTTAGCCCGCCTGAATGCACACTGCGCACTCAGCTCTCTGCTGAGCCGCCCGCCCTGCCAGGTGCACTCTCTGCATTCAAGCATGTGCCCTCCCTGTCCCCAGTCTGAGTGACCGGCGCCTGCTCTCGGGTCCTGTCCACCCGGGGTGACGGCCGCCCGGCCCCATTAACCCTGCTGCCTTGCTCAGCACGGTTCCTGTCGCACGTCTGAATTCTTTCTTGGGTGAAGACGAGAACCTACCCCATCCATCTCCACTAACACTAAGGGCCCCACGGAAGGGCCACGCAGAGATTCAAGTGCGCCGCGGCAAGTGGCCTTGTCTTGGGGCCCCTTCTAGCCGGGCGTGGCCGGCCGCATCCGGTTCCTTCCGGAACCGCCAGTGGCAGGGCCACCGTTGCGTGTCACCTCTGCCAGGCCCTGGACAGATCGCAGGCACCAAGCCCCGCGGGAAGCAAAGCCGCGGAGCGTGGTCACTCCCACACCTGCGGGTCTGGGCACTGGCTGCAGCGGCCTGACCACACCGGGGACTCCTGCGGACACGGGAGGGGGGCGGGGGCGCGCGGCCAGGCTCCGGGTGGGGCGGCGGGAGTCCCCGGGAACTTCCGGGCCAAGCCCGAGTCCCCAGGCCAGGGCGGCTCAGGGCGCGGGGCCCAGAGCGAAGGCCGGAGCCCAGGCAGGGCCACCGCCCAGCGACCGCCCACAGGGCACGCAGCCGCCCGGCCTTCTCCGCGGCTGTGCGGCGGGAAGGGGCTGGACTGCCGGGCAGAGAGCGAATCAGCTTCCGTCTGCCCGCGCAGGGGCGGGGCAACACCTGAGTGACGTGGGTCCCCACCAGCCTGCGCCCTAGCCGGCCAGGGGCAGTCCCGTGGGCGGGGCTCCTGGGACACCCCGGAGAAGAGGCCTGCCCCGCCTGCCCTGAGGCTTCTAGAACCTTCCGGGCCTCCTGAGGCGTGAGTGGCCGAGGTGAGCGCGCTTTTCAGGTTGGTATTTTTGGCTCAGTGTCCCTGAAGGAACCTGGCGAAAGGCGTGTGGGGTCGGGGTCGGGGTCGGGGTCGGGCGCAGCGTCCCGCAAGTGAGAGGCGACGTGGCGGCCGTGGAAGAAGGTTCCAGAAAGGCGGGTGAGGCTTGCGTTTGAGGCCCAGTGGCTGCAGGCGCTGGGGCGGACACGCGGACAGCGGAGGTGGCTGCTGTGTCCCAGGGCCTGGTGGGTCTGTGCAGGGCCCGATTCGGGGGCGCCGGGGGCCAGTAGCTGTGGCTGACCTGGACCCCCGCCTCACATCCCGGAGCCAGCCTTCCGCGGGAGACCCTGCCCCCGGGGTCCCCGGAGCCCTCCCCCTCCCCCCCCGAGCCCCCCCGGGGTCCCCAGAGCCCTTCATCCTCCTCCACCTCCTCCCCTGAGCCCCTTCACTCGGGGTCCCCAGAGCCCTCCCCCTCCTCCCCTGAGGCCCCCCCAGGGTCCCCGGAGCCCTCCCCTTCCCCCCGTGAGCCCCCTTCCGCAGGGTCCCCAGAGCCCCCCCTCCCCCCGTGAGCCCCCACCCCGGGGTCCCCAGAGCCCTTCATCCTCCTCCCCAGAGCCCCTTCACCCGGGGTCCCCAGAGCCCTTCATCCTCCTCCACCTCCTCCCCTTGGCTCGTTCACCCGGGGTCCCCGGAGCCCTCCCCCTCCACCCCCCCGAGCCCCCACCCCGGGGTCCCCGGAGCCCTCCCCCTCCTCCCCTGAGCCCTCCCCTTCCCCCCGTGAGCCCCCTTCCGCGGGGTCCCCGGAGCCCTCCCCCTCCCCCCGTGAGCCCCCTTCACCCGGGGTCCCCAGAGCCCTCCCCCTCCTCCGCCTCCTCCCCTGGGCCCCTTCACCCGGGGTCCCCGGAGCCCTTCATCCTCCTCCCCTGAGCCCCTCCCGGGGTCCCCAGACGCCCCTCTCCTCCTCTGAGCCCCCTCCCCAGGGTCCCCAGAGTCCTTTCCCTACCCCCCTTCACCCGGGGTCCCCAGAGCCCTCCCACTCCTCCCCCGAGCCCCTCCCGCGGTATCCCCAGAGCCTTCCTCCTCCCCCACCCCGGAGCCCCTTCACCCGGGGTCCCCAGAGCCCTCCCCCTCCTCCCCTGAGCCCCCCCAGGGTCCCCAGAGCCTTCCTCCTCCCCCCTGAGCCCCCCCCGGGGTAACCAGAGCCTTCCCCCTCCCCCGAGCCCCTTCACCCGGGGACCCCAGAGCCCTCCCTCTCTTCCCCTGAACCCCCTCCCCCGGGGTCCCCAGAGCCCTCCTCCCCTGAGCCCCTCCGGGGTCCCCGGACCCCCCCTCATCCACTGAGCCCCCCCCCGGGGTCCCCAGACACCACTCTCCTCCCCTGAGCCCCCTCCCCAGGACCCCCGGAGCCCTCCCCTCCTCCCCTGAGCCCCCTCCCCAGGGTCCCGGGAGCCCTCCCCCTCCCCCTCCCCCGTGAGCCCCCTTCCCCGGGGTCCCCAGAGCCCTCGCCCTCCTCCCCTGAGCCCCCTCCCTGGGGTCCCCAGAGCCCTCCCCTCCTCCCCTGGGCCCCTTCACCTGGAGTCCCCGGAGCCCTTCCCCTCCCCCCGTGAGCCCCCTGCCCCGGGGTCCCCGGAATCCTTCCCCCTCCTCCGCCTCCTCCCCTTGGCCCCTTCACCAGGGGTCCCTGGAGCCCTTCGCGCTCCCCCCAAGCACCCCCCGGGGTCCCCAGAGCCCTTCCTCCCCCTCCAAGAGCCCCCTCCCCAGGGTCCCCGGAGCCCTTCCCTTCCCCCCGTGAGCCCCCTTCCGCGGGGTTCCCAGAGCCCCCCCCCTCCCCCCGTGAGCCCCCTTCCCCGGGGTCCCCACAGCCCTCCCCCTCCTCCGCCTCCTCCCCTGGGCCCCTTCACCCGGGGTCCCTGGAGCCCTTCATCCTCCTCCACCTCCTCTCCTTGGCCCCTTCACCCGGGGTCCCCGGAGCCCTTCATCCTCCTCCATCTCCTCCCCTGAGCCCCTCCCAGGGTCCCCGGAGGTCTTCCCTCCCCTCGTGAGCCCCCTTCCCCGGGGTCCCCGGAGCCCCCCACCCCTCGTCCTGCCCGCACCCTCTGTTCTCCCGTGGAATTACGGGGGCGGGGGTGCCGCTGGTGACAAAGTGACGTTTTCTCGGCGTCGGTCCCGAGTGACACCAGCGTCCGGAATGGGCCTTGAGGTCCAGGGCTCCCGGGCCCCGGGGCGCAGCCGCAGTGCGTGGGCCCGCGGCTCTGCTGTCTCCGAACGCGCCCAGCTCGCTGTCTGGGGCCCTGTGGCCAGCAGAGGCCGCCTGAGGGCGGGCGCGCGGCCTGCCCGTGGCCCTGACGTCCGTGTCGCCGCCCGCGACCCAGCAGCGGCCGCTCCGTCCTCGCGCCTGAACCTGCGCTCAGGCCGTGTGCTGGCCGCGCGTCCCGGCTGGTGGCTCCCTCCAGGTCCTTCTTCCCCACCCCTGGCTGTTTTAAAGAGAGGGGGTTCAAGCCCAGCTCAGCCAGGGGGGTTTTGAAACCACTTGCTCCAGGAACCGGACATCTGCTGTGGAAGAGTGCAGCGTCCAGGGGAGGTCTGAGGGGTTACAATATAAGAGCCGTCCTGCTGTAGCAATGAGCAGAGACCCCTGTCTGCTGACAGCAGGGCAAGCCCCACGGTGTTGGACGGTCACTGCTGCCCAGGAGTCGACTTGGCTTGAGGCCTGTACAGACCTGAGGTCCCGTCTGGCTGTTCGCCTGCCTCGGGACAGGGCTGGTAGCCGCGGGGTGGGTGTGGACCTTGTGTTCTAGGCGCTTGCCTCTCCCCTAGAGAAGCCTTCTGCGCACGGGCACATAGAAGATGCCCGAGAGAACAAGTTGGTTTGAAAAGTGAGACGGTAAACACAGGTGAGCGCGAGCTGCTCACGGAGATCCCTGTCAGGGTGCAGAGGGCCGGCAGGAGACCAGGGGTGCAGGAGGGGAAGCAGAGGGAGAGAGCACCCAGCACCTCCTCCAGTAGTGTTCTCTGGTGGACGAGAGCTCTCTCCTCAGCTGCTGGCCTCTTGTGTGAGGTTGGGGGTCACTCTGTGGGCACAAAGCTACCTGGGAGTTGTGTGATCCCTCTGTAAAAGTCCATGGAGATCTCAAAATGCCTGGCATCTCTCCCAACTCCCACCCAAGTGCCTTATGGTGGAGATGCATCCTGGGAAAGGGGGCATTATGATTGACAAGTAGGAGGGCACACTGGGCAGAGGGGAGTGGCTTGTGACTTTCAGCTCTGTGGTCCTCACCTGGCTCCCTGCCTATCCTGTCCCATATCAGTAGGAGAGAGAGACAGCAAGTTGTCCTACCCTGTGTCCACCCCGGCCATTCCTAAGCTGGCTAGGACAGGTGTTGGGGGATGGATCTTTCTTGGTGAATATTTGTGGTTAGAGGAACCAGCAGAGATAGGTTATCGAGGGTCATGTGCAAAAGATGAAGTCCCAGTCCAGTTACTGGGGAAGTGTCACTGGGGAAGCTGTGATGTTCTTGTCTTCACACAAGAAAGAATGCAGGTGTGAGACAGAGAGCAGGGTGATGAGGGTTTATTGGGGACAGATCATCCATCAGAACGGAAGGGATGGAGAGAGAGAGAGAGCGCTCGGTCACTGGGACTGGGGAGAGCGAGGGTACATGGTTGAGTGGAGAGAACACACCTGGGCAGGCCAGGCGGGGGCTCAGCAGAGAGCAGAGGGCTGAGCGCAAAGTCTGTTTGGACTCCCTAGGTTTTTAAGGGAGTCTGTTTACCCACCTCCAGGACAAAGGACAGAGAGTCCTGGCGGAAGGGTTTGTTGGGGGAAAATTAGCAAATTCCTCCCCAGCAAATTCCTCTGCCCAGGAATTGCTGGCCTGGGCAGAATAGGGGGGCTTCCCTTAGGGCCTCTGAGAAGGTTTTATTGCCCCCCTTGTTATCAGGTCAGGTAGCCCCTTTGGTCCTGAGGAGAGAATTCTCCTGGGAGCTGTCCTTGGGGGGAGGGCTGGGAGCACCTGGGAGGTCATCAGGGTCTGGGCAGGACTCTGAAGTGGGAGACGCTGGGCTTCTGGGGCTTCCCAGTAGGTGCTGGGCTTCAAGCCCTTCTCACACACACAGAGGCTAAAGTTCTGACTTCCTAACAACTTGAGCAGAAAAAAGTGTCCCTTTGCACTTCTTTGTTTTTCTTTCAGCTAGTCATAGCTGCCTGGAGAGGGTGGGGCACAGTTGCGAGAAGGGATGGAAATGTGGTGAGGGAGGGCAGCCACCCCCCCCCCACACACAACCCCCCACTCCCCCACCCCACAGGCAGAAGCTGGGGATGAGGGAGATAGCTGATGTCCTCATTACCCCTGGCTTCACACACCAGCACCACAGAGCATGGGTTGTGTCTAGTAAACAGCCATGGAGGATGGGCCCACACTGTAACTGCTCCCATTAACCCCGTGCATAGTGTAAGTGTTACCAGTGAATGGCAGGGTTCTTGTCTTCGTGCAAGAAAGAATTCAGGCATGAGACAGAGAGTAGTGGGAGGTAAAATAGCAAGGTTTATTAGGGCAGGGCCATCCGTAAGAACGGATGGGCACCTCTCCAGACAGGACCTGAGAGAGAGTGCTCAGTTGCTCGGACTGGGAAGGGGGAAGCCAGGTTACATGGTTGAGTGGAGAGAGTAC